AAAAACATAACCAATGAGTAACTTTTGTGAAACACTGTTATTAGTAATGTGCTGAGAAATCAAACCACACCCTAGTGGACAAGACAGTTATGTGTAGATTTCATGTTATGGTGAAAGGGCAAAAAACATGAAATCTACAAGGGATCAGTCACGGGCTGGTAGTTTGCAGATGCAAAGTCAACTTTGTGCTAGCATACTGCATACTGGATGCCCTGAACCCTGAGTCAAGGCTGTTTGGGAAATCAAATGGATATGTCACCAAGAATTTCAAGGGGTGTGTGTGTGTGTTTAAATAATGATTTTAAAAACCTCAGAATTAATATTATAAATTAGAAAAACATTTGATTTGGCCAGTCTTATGATATGGAAGAAATTTTGGGCTGGCAAAATTTATTTGCAAGCTCTACACTTTTCCTAATTGCAAAAGCGATATATTCATTGTAGAAAAGCTTAAAAATCTGAAAAGCCAGAGTGAAAAAAATATATAATGTATACATAATTACATTGCTAGAAAAAAATGACATTACCTGGAAAAAACTACTATTAACATTTTGATTATACTTGTCTGATTATTTTTCAATGCCTAGCTACACACACACACACCCCCCCCCCACACACAAATACGGGATAATACTATGTACACTGTTTTGAAATCTGTTTTTTTGGTTATCAAAAAATTATGTAAATATTTCAGTGTCATTTGACATTTCCTACAGAATTTGATAGCTATACAACTTTCTACCACATAAATGAATATAATTTCTTTGATCACTTGCTGTTAGGTATTGATGCTACAGTGAATCTCCTTATACATAAAATTTTGATGACAGTCATGAACATTTCTTTAAATCAATTTCCAAAAGTTAAATTCCTGGATAAAAGACTTTTAGTATATCCGGAAAGAATAAAACTTTTCATAGTTCCATTCTCACCAATAGAGAATTATAGGGTCTATTTTTTCATATTCTCAACAACTGGGAATTATATACGCTCTTAACAACTGGGAAATACACACACACTCACAAACATTCAGTATATAGTCATCCCTTGGTATCCAAAGGATATCAGTTCCAGGACCCCTATGGATGCTCAAGTCTCTTATACAATATGGCATAATATTTGCATATAATCTATATACCTTTTCTGATATACTTTAAATCTAGATTACTTACAATAATTAATACAATGTAAATGCTACATTGAACTTTTTTCATATTGGCCATTAGTAATTTTCTTTTGCTAATATTTGGTAATATTTTTGAACTGTAGTGGAATGACAGATTTCAAAATGTAACAGTAGGAATTAGGAGACCTGGATTTTAGCCTTTATACCATCGGCATTGGATGACCTTAGGTTAAATCATTCAATCTCTTTGGTCCTAAATTTTCTTTTCTATATAAAATATATTTAAATGCCCACTCAAACTTTCTTCCTATATTATCTGTGAAGGGAAAAATATCTGTGAAAAGGTTACTGTACCACTATTTCATTAGCAGTATTAATATGTTCCTGGAGACACATTTACAATTACCAGACATATAAAAAGTAGGTTCTATACTTAACTTTAAAATGTTTTTAAATACTTAAAAAGGTAATTGATAATTCAGTCCAAACAAAGCAGCTGACTCCATAGCTTATATATATATATATATATGCATCATTATATAACTATATAACTTATATAGCTTATGTATACATTCTAAATTTTCTAAATTTTTTATAATGAGAAGTCAATTTACTGTTGACATGCTGGTATATTTCCATTCAAGGTGATTTTTGGGGTATACAATTTGAAAAAAAGTAATTCATGATCATAATTTTGTATCCAAGTCTTTTACCTAATATTGGACCATTTTTCTATTTAAGCACAAATTCTCAAACAATAAAGCTACTTAATATGTCATAATGGGAATAGATTATTATCTACCTAACTATTCCTCTTATCTTAATCACTTATATTTGATTACTTTAGCATTTCTTTTATATGTATGTATTTTTTTCATTTCTGTTTAGGGTAGATTCTAAGCATAGAAATTAAGGGCACAAAAGTGTGAACATTTTAAGACTTTAAACGTATATTGTTAAATTGCTCTAAAAAAGATTTGTGCTAATTTTTACTTCCTAGTAAGAATATACAAAGAGATGACTTAATTTGGAGATATGCTAGCCACTACTATGCCACATAATTTTTTTCTTAAAAATGTTTTAAATTACAAAAGTGATTCATGTTTGTACACACACACACACACACACACACACACACACAAATTGTAACACTTTCCTCCCCATCTCTTTCACTCCTTACCATTAGCATACCGTTTAGCAAGTATACTATCAGACATTTTTAATGCAAAAATCTTTCTTTCAATTTTGATAATAGTATATGTATTTTGATATGCATTGAAAATGTGTAAATGGCCCATCAGACCTGTGATTTGTGAATATTGCTTATGATGAAGTTAAAAAAATTAAGTTGACATTTAAAAATGTATATTAATTAAATAACAGGACCAAGTTACACGAAAATATATCCCCTCCCCCCCCCCCCCCACAAAAAAGGAAAAGAATAAGAAGAAATCTTGAATGTGATATGAGAACGATAACTTTGGAGAAACTACCATTGAAGTGTTGATTCTAGGGCTGACTGCTCCTTACCAGCTCTGTGTTCCTGAATAAGTCACTTCCTTTCTCTAAGCTTCAGATAGAGAACAAATAGTAAGAACCTGGAAATGCTAGTCTTTCTGCTGGAAGCGATGCTTCAACAAATGGGCAATCTTTCACTTGAGTCTTGTCTTCAGAATTTGGTTAATCTAACCCTAGTTGATCTAAGGTTGTTATTTTGCCTTTTTAAGAAGTTGACTAGGCCGGGTGGCTCACACCTGTAATCCTAGCACTTTGGGAGGCTGACGTGGACAGATCACTTGAGGTTGGGAGTTTGGGACTAGCTTGGCCAACATAGCGAAACCCCGTCTCTACTAAAAATACAAACATTAGCTGGGTGTGGTAGTGCACGCCTGTAGTCCCAGCTACTTGGGAGGCTGAGGCAGAAGAATCCTTTAACCTGGGAGGTGGAGGTTACATTGAGCTGAGATAGCACCACTGAAGTCCAGCTTGGGCGACAGAGTGAGACTCCATCAAATAAAATAAAATAAAACATCTCTTTGAGGAAGAATTTCATGTTAAATTGTGAATTAAGCCAACACATTGGCTTTACAATGAACTCCAAAAATTTTGACAAAATATTACTCCTTAATAACTTCATTGTGAGAACAGAAATATTCAAATTAATTATAGTTTCATCATAGGCCAAATCCTGGTATTGCTTTTGAGTAAAAAATCTGAAGTTTTATATCCAAGTAATGTGATATTGAAGCTAGTGGTTCATGAAGTAGATCATGCATCAAAAATTTGACTCATTTCAGTTATTCATCTTTGTATCCCTAGTACTCAGTTCTGAGAATGGCATAATACAGATGCTAAACACTCAATGATCGAATGAAATTACACATTACATATTACAATAACTAGTTTGATAGAACTGTAAATTTAACTACTACCTATGGAAGAAAGACTTTCTTTTGAATTTTAGAATATCACTATCGAAATATCTTTGATATCCAAAGGCATATATACAAAGATTCATATGGAGTAAGTTTAATATAAGTTATTGCAATGTCTCTTCCTTTGAGAGCTGTTCAGAATCATGAATCATCCGCCTTTGTCTTCTGTTAGTCACTTTTCCCTAGGCATGGACACTGGTTACCTAGTTATATATGTTTAAATATGGGTTTATGACAATATATTGATTTTTCTGGAAGAGATTAGAAAGAAGGTGTGCTAGTGACTTCACTTTTTTGGTATTTGGAGTGTCCACAATTATCTAGTCTGAAGTTTTGAGAAAAATTTTTTGAAGACTGAGTAATTTCCAACAAGAGTCAAGATCTCAAAATAGATAACTCATTAAAAAATCACAAACTCAATTAGTAAAAAGATTACATTGCATTGCATAGAAAGGAAGTTTTACATAGGGAAATACCACCAACTTAAGAGATGTGTAAAATGTGGTTAAAAAGCCACATTGTATTCACCTACTCTTCCTTTTGCTAAAATCATCAACTCGAACAGTTTTCCAGCTGGAATTTAGAAAATGGGGCTATCAACTGGATTTTTCTTTTTTTTATAGCTTTCAGGAAGCAGGAAGACTTTTCTCTTTTTAAATGATAGAACATAAATATTGAAACAACGACATTAGAACATCTATCCATTCTTGCTTCGGTGGAAATTCTATCTAATTCAGCTTCTGGACCGACTTGTTCGTGTTTCCAAGATCTCTTCCTGCAGGTTTGCTAGAAGTCCCTTTCCCCCCATAAACACTTTCCTTTGAGAGATTTGGGTGCCTTCCTTTTTTGAGGTTTTAAAAACTAAAATGATTTATAGACTATCCGTATCCTGTTGAGAGTTGGGCAAGTGAATGGATCATACTTGCATTGGTCATTCTGATTATAAGACTTCACTGTTTCTTGAACTAAAAGTGCAAGATTTATTATTCTATTAATGCTCATAAAGTCACTCTTTTGATGAGCCATAATTTCTCTTTATGAGGAGTGTGTATGCCAGTCACCCATGATAAGGGAGAAGAAAGTCCAGACTTCTAACATATTCACATTCCCTGCAACATTAATAGTCTTGAAACCCCATATGACTCCAGGGGATAATGCCACAGGATAAAGTAACAAAAGGTAAATTTCAAGGAGTCAGGATGTCCCCACGAGACTTCCCTCACATTGTTGGCTGTGTAGGAAACCAAATTTTTTTGTATTTTAATTAACAAATTTAAACATTAACCCTCCTAATGGAGAAGATAACCCACCAACTAGCCTGGTATTATCTTTGTGAATATTCTTAGGGAACGAAATAGCAGGAGGTATGAACTTTCTCCTGTTTAATCTTAATGGTCTGCTAATGGCAAAGCATAATTACAGTTACTTAAATGCCAAGTTTACTAAGGTTTTCACGAAAACCTTCGGCCACAGCGCTTTCCTTGACTGACCCAGCTTTTATACAGTTTTTTTTTTAATCATTTGAAAAATTGCCCCAAATAAAAACAAGAAAAAAGAAAAGCCCATTCCCTTTATGTTTAACCTCTTTCAATTATTTTCATTGGGAAGTTAAAGCGTTTGTGACTTCTAAAAAGTCGAAAAGATGATGCGTATGGCATCATTAATTGAATTCGTATCGCCCCCACATTCAAAAAGCAAGAGAGTTTTGCCATAGTTCGCTTCACGGCTTCAGGAAGTCAATTTGCTTCTAAACCAAAGACCGAGTGTGTCTTCTAAAGACCATCGTGTGGTGCCGTATTTGGGATGGAAACTTAACCATTGTACCTTTCCCCCACGCACCCACACCAGAAGCCTGAAAGCCACCATCTCCCCCGTTGGTCTCTGGATCTCCTCGCTGTCTTTGTCCCTTCTAGACGTGGAGGCTTGGAGAGGAGGTTTGGTTTCCAAGGATTGGAGCGTTGTGAAGGGCGGGGCCACCTCCAAGTCCATCTCCCCTTTTTGTCCTCTTCTCCTGGGACGGGAGGGTGGAGCCAGGTCCCCCCGCGGCCGGTTCGGGAGCTCTCTCTATCTCGGTCGCTCGAGGTGAGTGTGAAAGGGCGGCAGCCCGTTTAATTGCAGCACAGGTTAATTTCTTGAGTTCACCGCAGTCGGTGCGCCAGCCGCTTCCCCGGTCTTTGCCAAGTGGGTTTACGAGGTCTGAGGCGTGTTGGGGCGCGCTCACGTTCTCGCAAAAGGCTCCTCCCCAGGGCTCAATTCCCCGACTGCGGGAAGCCCTTTGGTGCCCCAGGAGCCTTGGAAACCCAAGGTTTCCTCTGACCTCGTCGCTCCTTCCTCCCTCCCCACCCGCCTGGTTCCCTACGTCCCTGCCCCCAGGGAAGGACGGCCCCCATCTTAGGACTTACGACCCAAGCCAACCCAGAAGGTACCTTCACGTCGATGAAGATTTTATCGCAGCCTCCAAAACCCAGCAGTAATAGGAGCTTTCAACCTGAAATACGATTGTTATTTTCCCGGTGCAGAGCTTGACAGAAAAAGTCAGCTTTTTATTAAAGACAAAGAGGTAAATTATCAGCCGGGACAGTGGAGGGACGGCGGAGACCTGGCGCGCTTCCTCCGGTTGCCACGAGGAATTTATGGGGTGGCGGCGGCCAGTGCTCAGACACCCCCCGGGTCTCGGTGGGGAGGAGCTCGGGGCAGGAGGACTTCCCTAGGTCCCTCCGGGCACTCGGAAGGGGGAGTCCTCCGAAAGCCGCACAAAGCCGGGATCATTTCAGTCCGGAACAGCTTCAGCGTCCTCCTCCTCTCTCCTTTCTTCTTTCTCTTCTCGGTGACTCCTGTTCCCCTTTCGCCTCTGTCCTTTCTGCGCCTTGTTCTCCTCTCTTTACTTCTCTTCCCTCTCCTCGCCTTTCCTCTCCCTCCCCCTCCTTTCTTCTCCACCGCACGCGTAGAGTGTCATTTATTTATTTATTTATCACCCCCGCCATCAACACCCTTTTAGGGATCCCGAGCTTTTCAATGTGAGTGGGAGGAGAAAAGGGCAGGAAGTGTTGACTGGAAGTGGGTGAAATCGTGCCTCGGGGTGAGAGATTCTGCTCAGGAATATAGGGTCGGGAAAATCCTGGAAAATGAGGATTTAGATCTGTTTATGAAGCCCCGCTATCGGATGGGAACCAACTCCGCGCGCGTCTCCTCCTCCTTTATTGTATGGATTTATAGGTGTATATCTTCTCGGACTGTTGCTTGGGGGGAAGGAGGAGAAAGGGCGAGTATTTAAAGAGGACAGTCTTGCCCAGGATAACACCGCGCCTTCACCGGATGCGCGCTCCTCAATGCAAAGGAATCCAGCAACATCCCCCAATTCAGACGCGGACAAAAGAAACTTTAATTAAGGTCTCTGCCCCGCGCGCTGCGCGTTTCTCTCTCCTGAGGCTGTTGATGTCCAACTCCAAGATCCGAGAAATAGAAATGGTACAATCAGCCCATGCCCTTGAACTTCAATTGCTCCTGACTTGCTGCATTGATTTTTTTTTTTTTTTTGATACTGTAGAACCCCCACCCCCACCCCCCACCGCTCCCAGTCCAATTAAAGCCTTAGGAGACTTTCGACCTGGTGGTGGAGGGGGAACCACTCCTTTGCAAAAGAAATAGTTCAGAACGATACGGAGGAAATTACACTAAATAAAAATTCAAGGTGTGAAAGCTTCATCTTGGCTCGCGTGTCTTCAACACCATGACACCTTATCATTAGGAGCGCTGATTGTTACCTTCCGAGCCTTTAGATGATCAGCCAGAAAGTGCAAACAACGCGGGGCTGGAGGGTGTAAAGTTATTTAAGCAGGCTTTCTTTTTTTCTTCTGGTGCGCAGTCAAAACATTTCACAAGTTAGGAAAAGAAAGTGGTGGTTCCGAAGCTAGGAATGATGGGCTCTTTTCCTCCTCCACCCCCCACCTTCCATATCAGAAAAGAAATAAAACGCACAATGAGCCTTTATTTCAGGAGAGAAGACTTCAAAATACGTGCCAGTAATGGACAATTTGAGCTTTTCACTGGAAATACTCACACCGCAAGCTGGAAAGGGATTAAAAAGCCCCACGTGGTTGATCTGGGTTTAGACTTGCAACCTCCAGTTCCCCATGTATGTTCTTTGCAAAGGTTGGCCTCTAGATGGATGCAAGTAAGGGACCCTCTGGGGCCCGGGCTCGGCGCCTCGGGCAGAGCTGACGGTGGGAGCGCTATGAGCTGCCGGGCAGGGTCCTCACCGGGGGCTTCCTCTGCGGGCCAGGGCTGCCGGTCGCCACCGGGACGCGAGCGCGCACGCCTCGGCCCGGCGGCCGCGCTCCTCGCACCGCCTTCTCCGCAGGTCTTTATTCATCTCATCTCCCTCTTCCCCTTCTCCTTCTCCTTTGCCTCCTTCTCCTCCTCTTCCTCCCCCTCCTCCACCACCACCTCCTCCTCCTCTGCCGCCGCCACCTCCTCCTCTTGCATCTCACTGGCCTGGCTCTGAGTGACAAAGACAATGTCCCAGCCTTAACTTTGCAACCACCTTGCCTCCTTCTGGGGTTCAGCAGGGGGGATGGGGGACAGCAGCAGCAGCCTCAGCATCTCCTCCAGCTTCTCCTTCTGCTCTTCTCGAGCTCTTGGATAATTCTTCCTCTTTTTTCCCCTAGCCTTTTTCCTCATTTCTTTCTTTCTTTCTTTTTTTTCCTTCCTCTCTCCTGCACGTTGTTGTTGTTATTAGAAAGGCTTCGCGCACCCCCTGGTGCTCCGGCGTTTTGTGTGGCAGGAGAAGATTGTCTTCCTTCTCTCTTTCTGTCTTGCTTTCTCTCTCCCCCTGGTTGCTCATTATTCAGAGAGAGACACAGAGGGAGGGAGAGAGAGAGAGCGCGCGAGGGAGAGGGAGGAGAGGAGAGAGAAGAGGAGAGAGGGGAGAGAGAGAGTGAGAGGGAGAGGGAGGGAGGGAGAGAGAGGGAGAGGGAGAGAGACGGATATCTCAGGTCATCTGCAGCTGCAGCGAGTCTGAGGAGCCGAGGAAGGCAGGGAAGATGGCGATCCTCCATTGCTGAGACCCGGCAGAAGCACATGAGACTCCCAAACAACTTCCACAACAATAACCCGAGCAGGAAGAGGAGAAAGAGAAAGAGGATAAGGAGGCGGTGGGGCTGGAGAACCCGAAGCACCTCCCGGCGCCGGGACGCTTCTTCTGTAAGTTACTGCAATTAACAACCACCTCGGGGTGGTCCGAGTGCTCCGGGGAAGAGAGCGCGGGGTGGTGGAGGCACAAACGCGCTCATTCATTCGGCCAAGGAGGGTTGGAGGAGCGGGGAGGAGAGGAAGTACCCTGCATGGACTGGCTGTTGGAAGAGGAGAAGAAGCGAGAGAGAAGAGGAGGAGGGGGAGGAGGGAGAGCAGGAGGGGGAGGAGGAAGAGGAGGAGGAGAAGCGAGGGAGGAAGAGGAGGAGGAAGAGGAGGAGAAGGTGGTAGTGGTGGCAGTAGAGGTGGCTGTGCTTTTCCTGCTGGCTGCTCCTTCTGCTGGGGGGAGTGAGCGCGGTGGCTTAATTAATTTCGTGTAGTTCTATGAAGAGAAGAGAAAATGAAAGATGAGTGAGAAGAGAGCTGGAGGCTTAGGACGGATGCTCCGAGTGTGGGGACAGGAGTAGGGACAGAGAGGGGGGCGGAGGGCGGGAGGCCGGAGACCTGAGCCGAGAGCCAGAGGGAGCAAGCGAGGGTCAGAGGAGGGAGAGCTCCGAGCGAGCGGCCCCGACCTGAGCGGGTTGACCTCTTTCTTTCTCTGTCCCTCTCCTTCCTTTCCCCCCTCTGTCTGCCTGTCCCCCGCCCGATGGCAAAGCCGTGCGGATTGGCACCCCCCCTCTTCCTCAGGTATTTGGCTCTCTCTCTCGCTCTCGCTCTCTCTCTCTCTCTTGCTCTCTCTCTCTCTCCCCGAAGTTGGGATGCGGGGTCGGGATGTGTCGGGGGGTGGCTGCTGCAGCTGCTGGTGCCGGTGCTGCTGGTGAACAGAGAGGCGAGGAGAGGGGGGCACCGGCCGGGTGGGGGGCGCAGGTTCAGGAGCGGCTGAGGAGCTGTCTCCAGGCTGGAGGTTCAGAAGCGTCTGGTGGAGGAGGACAACGGTTTCTGGAGAGGAGAAGCCATTACACACGCTTGGCTCTCCTGAGGAAGGGAGAAAGGAAGGCAGGGGCCTGGGGGGGGCGTCTCACTCCTGGTGCAGTTCCCAGGGGTCTGCCCTCCTTCCAGGCACGAGGGGAAGCCGCAGCCGCCCCCCATTGGAGCAGCCCCTCTTTCCCTTTCTTTATCTCCCTGTCCTCCATTTGCAAGCTGTCTGCTTTGGTTCCAGTCCAGACTCCAAAACACAAAGCTCCTTCTCACGTTCATTCTCCAGGCTGTTCACCATTCCTGAAGGAACTCTCATTTTCTTTTCATTGTAGCTTCTAACCTACAGAGAGGGAGGGAGGGAGGCTGCCTGGAGTTCCTTTTATATTCCTCCCCAACCAAGAAAAAAAAAAAGTTTCATTTTTAAGCACGCGTCTGGGATGGGGAAAGACCAACCAGTTGGGGCTTTCTCCCAGGGCTCCCGGGGGCTGTGTCTGAGTGTCTGTGTTGGCTGTTTGGTTTGCTTTGGTTTTGTTTCTGGAGGTTGCTTGCAGGTTTTTGGAGGAAGTGACTAGTTTGGTTAAGAGCTGGGAACTGAGTCAGGTAAGCCGTGTCATGTTGTAACTCCACCAGAAAATGGAGGAGAGCGGGTTTCCAGGAGACAAAGCTGAGATGAGAAGTGTTTATAAAATTATGGATGTCTCCATTTTGAAGCTCTGTTGGTGATGGCTGGAGGAGGAGGAGGCTTGCTTGCCTACTCCTTCTCTCTTTCCAGAGGGAAACCTTGTGGTGGTTCCTCACTATCTATTCATTATGCAAGGAAATGAGGGCTTTTAAGGGTTCCTCAGATTTTTCTCCACCAAAGGAGTGCTTTCACAAGTTATTGAGGCGTTTGTTTCCGTTTTAAAGTAAACTTTTGGAATTTTTTTTCTCCTTTTGAGTGGACCTGAAGGGTTTTGACCTCCTTCAGGAAAGGCAAGGCAAAAACCTTAAAACATTTCCACTGAGGTCTTCACACAACTTTAAACTGCTCCAGGTCTCCTGAAAGTCACCAGGAAATGTGATTTCCTCCTTGTGAAGATGGTGATGGCCCTAAGCTGAGATTTTTTTGAGTTCTAGGGCTTGGTTATCATCATGTTTTGATGCACTGCAAGACTTTATTGTCTGATTTGGGTTGATTTCTGCAAATATTAAAAATAATAAGAATAATCCTGCAAGATCTCAGAGGAACTCTAAGACTGACTAACACTAGTTTCTCCAGGTTCTCCATTTCTCTTTAGGTCGTTCCATTTGTATGCTAGGCCTTCTTTTAGTTTCTTTGTTTCCCCCTTTCCCTTTCCTTCGGCTATTTTTTTCTGTGTTCTGAAGTACTCTAAGTCTTCAGAAATATCAGTATGTCTTCTTAACAATGTCACTATGGAAACAAATTTGAAAAACACAATGTCAGTTGAGAAAACCTTATGTCCAGGTATCTTCACCTTTTTAATTGGGAGGAATTTATTAAACATGTAGGAAGGAATTTATTTTGTGAGGATAATTTGAAAAAAGGACCCAGTCCTACCCTTGTCCACGCAGTGATGGGAGCTCTTCACATATTAGTTCTAGAGAATGTACATAATTGACCCAAGCGAAGAACTAAATCCCGAAATGCTTCAGGAATTTATAAAAGCCAACCATGAAGATGTTGCTTTTCCATTAGGTGAGGTAGCCATCTTGAGGATGAGGGAAGATGTTGGAAGAATTTTAGATGAACTGTTGAAGATAGGTGAGGAGGGCTCCACGGTGGAATGAAAACTTGGAGGAGATTCAGAACCAATTAATATATTCTAAGGAGGCTAATTGGACCTTGCTTTCAACTAAGAAGAAATATAGAAAGGTACCAGCTTCAACAGAAATAAGGAACACATTGGTGAGCAACTTATAACAGCATTTTTCTTGCTTTGCTTTCTCATTATGTATCAGATTTTTGTGTGTAAAGTTCCTTATGTCTACAGTATTTTTGTGCATATTGAAGTGGTTTTAGATTCCAGATGTAATTATATTCTGTTGAGTAGCTGGTAGCACTGTCACTCAGTAAATGCACAGTGCTGTATATGACAACATCACATTTTTCAAACCAAACTGTTGTGTCATTAATTGAGGGTTATTGTTCTTCTGAGGGGTGTGAAAGGAGAGGGGAAATACATGGTTCTTTAGCTGATAATTGTCCATGGTCAATGAAGTAAAACCATGTTTGTGCAGACAAAAATGTATGGTTTCAGTTGATGTGTATGCTCATTTAAAAATACTTCTGTTAGATATCTGCTCCTTTATGAAAAACCTAGGCCTCTCCAAGGGCACTTTAAAAAAATCCTACTTGGAATCATAACTTTTATTATTCATTTTTGAATGTAATCTTTTGATCCCATTACTTTTGCTCTTAAGTGAAATTTCACCAATATTATATTTAAATTTGCTAATGCATAAATGGATTCACCAAACTGGGTGTCCAAACTGGGAAGTTCAGATGCAGTGGATAAAGAGTTATTTGGAAAAGTAATTACCAGATAATTTTACATCTAATTAACCATGTATGTTTATGTAAACATAAGTACATTATATATTGATCTTGAAACAAACTTTCATGATACCTTTTTTTATTGTTATTGATAGCAGGACAATTGATTCATTTGCTTATTTCAGCAGGGGGGAAAAATCTGACTATCTGGTTGTCAGTCCAGCTGTTTGACTCTCCACATTTTTTACTTTGCAAGCAAATGTTTTGGGGTCTTAGAGTTGAACTTTCCTGGAAGGGAAAAATAGGTATTTAAGAGGCATCTTGGAATTTGGGAGTGCATTCTAACTGGTTATCTAAGACACATCCATCTCTGATGCCCTTCACCAACATGGCAAACACCATAATATTTAAGGACATGGTTTTTTGAGTTTTTCTAGACATACCCATTTGAATTAAGACAAGTATTTTGGAATAAACCATCATGAGAGAAATAAAAAGTATTAAATCAGACATTTTCATTTAATGTCAAAGCTCAAAGATCATTTTTGTTTATGAAACAAGTTCATGTGGCTTATTATGCAAATTTTTGCCATGGCTCTAATATATCACAAGGAGAAATCATGGAGAAATATTTGCGAGCTATGATGCACACTGCCATAAGAAAAATTCTTGTATCCTCACATTCCATAATATGTCTCATATTGGATTTATGTCAGTCTAATTCATTGACCACATTCCCCGAGGAATTGTTTTTCCCCCTTACTCTTTGGAGTTGGAGACAACTTTTAGAGAAAAAAAAAAAACAAACTTATCTACTCTTCCTAATGAGTCTTCCGGAAGACAGCAGAAGAAAAAAAATCCAACTCTACTAATGGACTTTAGAGTACTTGTGGTCGGTTTTCCTGAAAGAAAGGAATGGTAAAGTTGCAATGGGAAAGAGTCCTTTTTCTGTGTGATGGAGTTTAATAGGGTCTACTCTGTCTTAAATTATTCCTTGATGTTGCGATTTCTTGGTTAAGGTAACCTTACTTATCTTCTTTATGGCATGTGCCTTTTTCAGACTTACACTTCACTACATCATGAAATTGACAAAACTGTATCAGCTATTCTGAACTGATAATTGGAGAACAGAGATGCTGTTTCATAATGCTGCAGTCACAATTAGGAGATACATAATGGACTCTTACTGCTAAGGATCTGATATGAATGTATGACTGGGGTGGTTGGTATATTCAACAGAAGTGAAGGGAGAATATTTCCATGACTGAAAGCTAAAATCCAGTGAACTGAAAAAAAAAAAGTCAGTGTGTGTGAGTGTATGTAAAAGCAAGTATCTTGTGAGTTTCACATACTTACGGAGTATGATGGCTTTGAGAGAGACATTAGCTGGGTATTGGTGACCTATTAATTGATTATGAGAAAACAGAGAGGAGAATAGATAATGCTAGAAGAAAATTCCTGTCCTTGTGTGATATGCCAAGACATCTGGCAGATGTTATGTTGGGCCCTAAGGAATGGACAGTTTAATTTTAGCCCTAGCAAGGAAATGGGAAGTTCTAAGCTCTTTTAATAGCACAAGTCTTAGTTTGGGGAAGGTTGC